TACTCTATCGTATATTCATCAAACAGTGGTAATTAGACAACATTGTTCGATGGTATGCATTATGAAAACGTGCTTTGAATTACTGCAATGAAAATAGATATCACTGTGAAAATACTGTATCACCATGATCCATTTCAACGTAGCTCCTTCAAACCTCTAATTGGTGGTACATATTCTAGTATTTGTCGAAGATCTATCAACTTAATTTTTCGGAAATAAGTGAATCATACCCCTGTATATGAAGGTGTGATCGCAAAAGTAACGTGATACCGAATAAGAAATTGTGACATTGATAACCAACAAAATTTTCAGAACAAAACTACTCCCAAATTTTCTCTAGGACTTGGTTCAAGTAAATTAAACATCATAATATGAACCGTGAGGTTTCAATGTTATGTATATAGGAAATATAACTTCCTCAAATATTTCAATATTTCAAGTGAAAGTTTTTGATGGTTCGAGTTTTCAACATAATTATTTAAAAACATATACTAATACCTGGAAAGGTGAGTTCATAATTATTCTACTCTATCGTATAGTCATCAAACAGTGGTAATAATTAGACAACATTGTTCGATGGTATGCATTATGAAAACGTGCTTTGAATTACTGCAATGAAAATAAATATCCTCCGCACTTACTTTTCATGATCCAAAGTTATTTTCCCAAAAAACGAAAAATAAGATCAGTTCCTGAACTGAAATATCTGGGTTTCTCTGAAAGTTTTTTTGACAATATTCATTGATTTTTTCGGAGAAATATCATCTATATGCATACTGATGAATTCATTAAAAAATGAGAAGTTGAATACCTATTTACTCTTCCTACGGAGTTATAATGGAAATTGTCGAAAAAACTTCCCTCACAGAAACCCACATATTTTAATTCGGAATCCCATCGATCATTTTGTTTTTCGAAATAAACCAATTTCAGGCCGTGAAAAGTGGGTATGGAGAATACTTTTCTCATTGCAGTAATGCACATTTCACAAACTATGGATGCAAGTTTGAAAAAAAAATCTTCACTCAAGCATATATCGTCGGTGAAATGGCAAAACCAAGTAACTGACAAAAATTCGAAAATGGGATTCTGGCGGCAACCGGTCTATCATATTGGTGGGGACGCGTATGCAAAACCTCATCACTAGTAAAAAATTGTAAATAGTTTGAAATCCATAAATACAAAACACCTCATCTGAGAAACGAAAAAGAAGGGGTCGTCAAAAACAAGTATCTAACAATTGGCAAAGTGATTCACGCCTCTGATATTTTGTGTTCAATTTCTTTTCACAGAGATTAATCTCTGGTAATTGGTTAGTGACTTTTCATCGAACAGATATGTGAAACAGTTTATTCTTAACTTCAATTGGTATTTCAACACAGGATGTGAAAATTTATCCTGAGTATTTGTCGAGCAGAAAGTCCAGAAAAATGAAGTTACGTGTTTTTGCTAATTACTTTTCTGAATAATTGTTGTTGCTTTCGCACAGAAGCAGATGTCAAAACCAAGTATCTCACGCTGACAAACAAAAACAATGACTCATTTCAATAATCATTGTACAAACGTAAGGATAATAATAATCAGGTGGTTTGGAACTATTTTTTATTGAATCTGATCAGTTAACCCAAATTTTTTTTTTTTAGTGGGTCCTGAAAATTTTGGTTTTTGCAGTTACTTGGTTTTGCGGTTTCGTCGACGATATGGTGAATAAATTTTTTTCCATAAAATAAGTGAAATAGGTGAAAGAGTTAATTGAAGAGTTACAGGGTATTGAGAAGATTTTTCGACGCCACTTTGTATTTGTCTTCAATTTTAGCAATTCCTAAAGAAAGATAGCAAAAAAAAAAATATGGTCCAAATGAAAGGACAATTTCTGACATACTTACGAAGATATCACTGTGAAAATACTGTATCGCCATGATCCATTTCACTGTAGCTCCTTCAAACCTCTAATTGGTGGTACATATTCTAGTATTTGTCGAAGATCTATCAACTTAATTTTTCGGAAATAAGTGAATCATACCCCTGTATAATGAAGGTGTGATCGTAAAAGTAACGTGATACCGAACAAGAAATTGTGACATTGATAATCAACAAAATTTTCAGAACAAAACTACTCCCAAATTTTCTTTAGGACTTGGTTCAAGTAAATTAAACATCATAATATGAACTATGAGCTTTCAATGTTATGTATATAGGAAATATAACTTCCTCAAATATTTCAATATTTCAAGTGAAAGTTTTTGATGGTTCAAGTTTTCAACATAATTATTTAAAAACATATACTAATACCTGGAAAGGTGAGTTCATAATTATTCTATTCTATCGTATATTCATCAAACAGTGGTAATAATAAGACAACATTGTTCGATGGTATGCATTATGAAAACGTGCTTTGAATTACTGCAATGAAAATAAATATCCTCCGCACTTACTTTTCATGATCCAAAGTTATTTTCCAAAAAAAACGAAAAATAAGATCAGTTCCTGAACTGAAATATCTGGGTTTCTCTGAAAGTTTTTTGACAATATTCATTGATTTTTTCGGAGAAATATCATCTATATGCATACTGATGAATTCATTAAAAAATGAGAAGTTGAATACCTATTTACTCTTCCTATGTCAGACAAACTTCTCTCACAGAAACCCACATATTTTAATTCGGAATCCCATCGATCATTTTGTTTTTCGAAATAAACCAATTTCAGGCCGTGAAAAGTGGGTATGGAGAATACTTTTCTCATTGCACTCAAGCATATATTGTGAATAAATTTTCAGTCCATGTATAAATACACCAGATTCATCTTTGTATTATTAGGTACGTTCACAGCCAACACTATTACAAAATGTTGCTAAATCACACACCTTCACCAACACGACAAGGCTCTTTCGATTCGAACGATCGAAACCATTGAACAAACACTTTCTTAGGCCATCAGAAAAATGTCGGCAGTCGGTGATTTGAACCCACGACCAGCGAGCCATCATGATCAGAATACGCTTCTACCACACGGCTACCTGGAACTTGATGCACATTTTCAAGATTAGGTTTCATATCTCAGTTTGCGACACAAATTGTAGTCAAATGAATTTTGATCAGTTTTATCTTGTATAGAAGTTCATTTCATTGAATTTGAGCGTATTTCAAAAATATTATTGTATGATCAAGTTTCCTCGCTCAATATTACCTTATAACACAATTATGTCCCATGGATATCTTTAGGACGTCCTGTCGGGACATTCAGGACGTCCACAGGACGTTCGAATTTGGTACCTTGAACGTCCATTAGACGTCTGTGGGACGCACAAATGTACGCCTCGAGGAACAACTAGGGACGTTCATGAGGGATGTCCCTGGGACATCTATCGAGTACCTGAATCCTACAGTAGTCCTCATCAAGCACTACGTAGGACATCCGTAGGACAACCGTTCAGCAACGCTGAGGGATATCGATAGGATGTCCATAGAATGTCCCAGGGACGTACGAATTATTCTTGAATTTGAATTTTTCTGAGTCCTCCTTGGACCAGATCTTGCATAACTGACGAGGACATCAAGTTGAGTTGATGGTCCGTTGAAGGTCCCCAATAGATCCTGAAGAAGTTTCCCGAGGATGTCCAATGGACTTACGTGAAGCACATTGACGGAAAGTTATAATAGCTTACGAGCAATCATTCGTCGGAAAGGTGTAAGTTAACGTCCTCGCAGGGACAACATATTGAAAGTACCGACTGGGACGACCGTAGGACGTTATTTCCAGGACATTGGATGAGTACAGTTCATGCACCAATTGGGACATTCGACGGATATCCCTGAGGGACATTTGAAGGATGTCACTAAGGGACATTTCGATTGTTATACGATCCTGGAAATATTAAGGGCGTCTGTGCAGAGATATTTGAAGGAATTTACTATCAGGGACATTTAATGGTTGTCCAGAATGGATATTATATAATATCTGAAGTCATGCCAGGATATGTACTAGTCAGGACATCCGATGGATGTCCCTGAAGGATCGTTTAAAATCATATCTCATCAGGGACATGCCAAGGACGTCCTTGCATGGATATTCTACAATATGTTCCACGTGGGATGTCTAAGGGATGCTATTTCTAGGACATTTGAAATTGTAATGCCCCCAACTTTCTCCGTTCGTCGGCCTACTACAGGTGGTCGTCACAAAGTAATTCTTTTCTATCAATGGGTTCGTGATTATTGAGGCAGGAGGCAGACTGAGATTGTGGACATTAAGACAACATATAGATAGTTACTGAGACATATATTCAGGTAGTATGGTCAGGCAGAGGTTACAGGCAACAAAATCAAAGTTTGTTTAAATTTTAAATTGCACATTTTTGTTCCACTGTTCACTTGTTTTTAATTGGAGAGAGATTTACTCCACTTTTACGTTTCAGTCACAAAAGTTGCAGTTTACAATAAATTTACCTGAGTGGTTACTTACACAGGTATTATTAACGAAGTTCACTGGTACTGTTCGAACGTAGCATGTTTGATAGACAGATACAAAGTCTGCTGGATACGTTTTGTATTGAGTCACGTATTGAGGCACTCAATTCAAAATAAACATTCGTCCGTTCATGTAATAATATTGCCTAATTAGTTCTTTCGAATTATTCCTCTTAGACGCATGATAAAAGTTATTCTTGTATTCTGCACTGTACTTATTTCAAACAAAATACCCTGTATTCAATTGTATTCTTAGATGGGCCCTGAAAAGCTGATTTCATCGAGACACTTGGTCTATCGGAAATGAAAACAGAGAATTAGTATGTTCAAAATCAAGATTTTTCAACTTTAGGATTTGTTTGTGTCGAAACTATTAATTGTCGGCCGAAACGGCTCACATGTCCCTATCTCAAGTTTTGTTTTACTATTTACTGATATTCAATCGGAAGAGATCTATATCTGTTATGATGAATCAATCTGATTTCATATTCATACCTGGTCGGTTTCACTATTTCCTCTTTTTTTTTTCAGATGGAGGGGCTGGTGAGAGAGATGCAGGACACGGAGCATGGGGGCGTTCCTGTCAGAAGCCAAAAATTATTCCTAACATCAATTCCTGCCGCATTTATGGGTAAACATAAACCTCCTTCCTACGAGCGTACGGAAAAGTGACTTTTCCGCACGATTTTTCGTTTGGAAAGTTGTACTTTTCCGTACGATTTTACTATTCTGCATGAGTTGCACTTTTACGCATGATATTTACTGTTACGCACGATAAACCGATAAAAACTGGAACAAACAGAGAAACAGAAAAAATTAATACGGTCTGATCAGCAATTAAGCAATAATGAGTGAGGTTTTTGGGTCTTTTTTTTCTTTCGCTTGGCTGCACTAGTTGTCAACTTCAGTATTCAGGTGAAAATCAATGAAAAATATATGATTTTCACGTAATTTGAAAGATCAATTTATTGGCCCGGACCAAAAGACCCTAATAACACACTTATGTCCCATGGATATCCTTAGGGCGTCCTGTCGAGACATTCAGGACGCCCATAGGCCGTTCTAATTTGGTACCGTGGACGTCCATTGGACGTCTGTGGGACGCACAAATGTCCCACTTGAGGACCAACTAGGAACGTCCTTGAGGGATGTCCATGGGACGACTATTGTATACCTAAATCCTACAATATTGCTCATCAAGCACTACAGACGACATCCCTAAGACCATAGGACAACCCATCAGCAACGCTATGGGATATCAATTGGATATCCATAGGATGTCCCAGGGACGTACGAATTATTCTTGAATTTGAATTCTTCTTCGTTCCTCTAGGACCAGATCTTGCATAACTGATTAGGACATCCAGTTGCGTTGATGATCCGTAGAAGGTCCCCAAAAAGTTTCCCAAGGACGTCCAATGGACTTACGTGAAGGACATTGACGAGGAGTACTTATGGCCTACGAGCAATCATTCGTCGGCGAGGTCTAAGTTAACGTCCTCGCAGGGACAACATATTGAAAGTACCGACTGGGACGTCCATAGGACGTCATTTCTAGGACATTGGAAGAGTACAGTTCATGTACCAATTGGGACATCCGACGGATATCCCTAAGGGACATTCGGAGAATGACCTTAAGGGACATTTCGATTGTTATACGATCCTGGAAATATTGAGGGCGTCTGTGCAGAGATATTTGAAGGAATGTACCATCAGGGACATTTCATGGTTGTCTAGAAGGGACATCATATAAGATCTGAAGTCATGCCAGAATATGTACTACTCGGGACATCCGATGGATGTCCCTAAAGGAACGTTTAAAATCATATCCCATCAGGAACATGCCAAGGACGTCCTTGCATGGACATTCTACAATATGTACCACGTGGGACGTCTAAGGGATGCTATTTCTAGGACATTTGAAATGATGTACCAGCTGGGACATCCCGTGGACGTCCTTGCTCGGACATTGCATGAGATGTACGGGATGGGACGTCCCAAGGACACTTATTTTTGGTTCGGGACATTCGGACGTGAATTGTACCAAATAGGGACGTCCCTAGGACGTTGTGTGTTATCAGGGGAGACTCAATGAAGATATCTATCTTCAAGACGCACCTTTCATTGCAAGATGTACGTCTTTAAGACTTCTCTGAAACCTAGAATATGGGTCTTAAAGAAGTACTTACGTAGTGGAATACACGTCTCAAAGGCGTCTAAGAGGTATACCTATACAATCTGTGCCTATACTTTGGCCGATTGGGTTATAGGTAACCCAATCTGACTATTTGAATATAATAAGTAAATATTTTAGAAGCCATAACACACAGAACTCTATGGACTGAGGGTTCCAAGATAAATCGTCAAAACTGTGCGGAGAAGTTACTAGCAAACTACTGCTGATGAGTTATTTTTCGAAAAGGAATATTCTCAGATATATAATGAACATGAAACAAAATGGACATGCTTATGTAAAGAAATACATTGAGAATTCGCTTCCTCTATGTGATGAAAATATCAATTTTCTTTCGGTATATTCAACAAGAAACAACTACTTTTGAGTTCTATCTATTGAACATACACGATAGAATTTTGAAATTAAAATTTTCTGTGAAGTTGAGAGTTTGCATCCTCCTTCAGATAAAAATATATATTCACATTTTATCATTCTGCGTGATGTATATAAATTTGTCGAGAAATACATTTTTGTATTGTTGAAAATTAGGATATTTAGGACTGACTCAATGATCTATACAACTATTCTGTCTCATGGGTCATTAAATGAAATCTTGTTCATGAAAAACCTTTTTTTTTTTCATAAATAATATGGACAAGAACACTCGTAGGAAAAACATTGTACCACTATTTCCGGACTTGGTAGATTAATAACTATTCTACAACATACACAAGTACTCATGGATTTTGCTCAACCTTTAATTTTCATGAGTTGCTAGATCGGTCATTCTGTCGCACCCTGCATATGTTCGCTGAATCTTATTTAAACAAGATGTTCAGTTATCGTTGATTGCTGCACAAAGATTGCTTGGGAAATTGAATGTATTGAATATTTTTGACGATTGGAGTTTTCCAACTATTCAGGATCAAGCAACATTGCAGTGTGATATTCTGCAATTCTTGTTTCAAATCCATAACAGTATATCTGGAGATGTATTTCCTCTAAGAACTAGATCTCCTATATGATACAAACTCCATCGATAGCACAGTAGCAATAGCATTTATATTCTTGTTTACAATTTCAATGGTATTATGATTGTCTGTTGAACAGTGCCTTTTATACGAGATAACAGTAGTAATACTATAATTACTTCAAAATATTCGGGTTATACATCGATAAGTTGTCGCATGATTACAAAAATAGTCAGTTTGACAGTTGAAATAATCCGACTGCGAAGCTGGAGGATTATTCTGTTAATCTGACATAATTTGTCGAAGTTTGAAATGTATAACTATGAATAGTTTGAAGTTCCAATTGTATTTGTATTCATTTATAGTGTTACTACATTGTAGAATGTTTTCACTCGTCAATATATATATAAAAAAACATTTGATAATAAATAGATAAATGAAAAAAAAAATAAACGAAATAGAATAAATAACAATAAACATGATCACATTGGTCAAACAAACATACACACTTAGTTCTATAAATATCACATTTCAGTATTGCTAACTAGAAGCTTTATAAATCTATATCATGTCATGTGTCAATAAGGCTGTGAATTACTGAATAGAGTAGAAACATTTTCTGATCAGATATTTTTTCAATTTACATTTGAAGGGCATTAAATTCAATTTCTTCATATCATCAGGTAATTTTTTGAAAAAAGTCGGACCATAGCAATTGAAACCTTGTTGAGATTTCTGAAGTCTATTTGTAGCAATGACAATATTATTGTTATTTCTCGTATTGTGAGAATGCATATCAGAATTTTGTTTGTATTCAGTCAAGTGTTCTTTCACATAAACCAGGCATTGATGAATGTACATACTAGGCAAACGAAGAAAATTATATTCAATAAATAGGTCTTCACAATGTGCCCTGGGACTTGAGCCTGATATAATTCTAACTGCTTGTTTTTGTTGCCTAAAAAGGTTTTGCATGTTTGTGCTGGTCCCCAGATCAGAATCCCATATTGCAAGTGAATGAACGTTCCATGTTAATTTGCTGTCGATATGGAATCCTAATAAATTAACTGGGGCAATATTTGTAGTATTTTTCCTAGTTGCTATAGTTATTTTCTGAGTTTTTTCCACATTCATTTTTAGTTTGATTGAAGAAAAATATGTCTCTTCAATTTTTTCAGCGTTATTGGAATATTCATGAACATCATCAATAACTTTATTCTGGTGTATGAAAGTAGCATCATCTGCATAAAGGATAGTGTCAGTGTTCTCCAGTCTACGAGGAAGGTCATTTATGTAAACCAGAATAATATTGGGCCTAAAATAGAGCCCTGGGGAACGCCATAGTCATTGTTCCTGTGACTTGAACTCTGACCGTTCAATTCAACAAATTGTTTTCTATTCGATAAATAAGAGTCAATAAGTTTCAGGGCCGTACCACCGATTTGTAGTATTTCATTTTCAATTTCGATATGGAGTGATCTACGCAATCAAATGCTTTGCTCAAGTCGCACATGGTTACATCAATATAAAGGCCTTCCTCTAATGCTGCTGTCACTACTTTTACGAACTTGATCATGGCAAGAGTGGTGGATTTTCCTGTCCGAAAACCAAACTGTTCGATGCGAATACTACCGAGTTGTAGTGGTGCAAAGCCGGTTTCTCTAGTAGGAGTACTGTTGAGGTATAGTGGTACAAATCCTGTGTTTATAGTATAAATGCCATCGAGTGATTGTGGTACAAATCCAGTTTTCCTCGTATGGATACTATCGAGTTGTAGTGGTGCAAAACCTTATTTTCTCGTAATTTGGAGGATGGATATAAGTCGTACCCTACGTCTCCATGACCGAAAGTCTATGATGATATGGTCTCGTTGGTTTGATGAAGGCTGGCTAGTGTGATCCTCAGATATATTCGGGTATATCGAGTAGGTACTCTCCAAATGACTCCAATCAAAGACCAGAGAAGATACCGTCAGGGCGGTACTGCAATCGGCAGCCAATTACAATGTTGTTTTTTTAATCTATGGTCACACGTACGATGGACCGACATAAAGCCAGAAGTAGTATGATGTATTGCATCAATAGACAAAGTGTTCTGACACCTAGTGGTTGATGAAGGAAAACTTTTTTACCAGGGTTTTACAAGATTGCCTTCGTTTCTGCCCAGCGAGCACAAACATCCCTGGGATGTTTTGGGATGTTTTGAAAATGTTGGCATGAAGATGTTATTTTGAGACGTAATATGCACTGACCAAAGAGGTCTTTGAAGGATATTGAAGTATTGTTTTTGTTTTTCTGTGGCATATCTTTGTTTGCCTACTGAGAGGTATCCCTGGGATGTTTTGGGATGTTTTAGAAATGTAGGCATGAGAATGTTTTTTTGAGGCGTAATATGCACTTCCCCAAGAGGTCTTAGAAGGTTATTGAAAGTATATTGTTTCTGTTCTTTTGTGCCCTTTCTTTGTTTGCCCCACCACAACGTCTC